CGGCCGCGCGTTATGCTTATACCTATATACGTGTCATTTGTTATTCACGGTACGTGTCGATAGCGGTGAAAAAAATCAATTAATCATGACGTGTAAATAAAAGACACATTAAGCCGGGCAGTAAGCAGCGGTATTAATATAAAAGAGGGGTTGTGCGGCTAGACCTGACAATAATCCGGGCGTGGGGAGGACGGACCAAAACCATATACACTACCGCACCGCCGCCGGCGACTTCGGGATACGCGCGAGTACTTTGGGTGCTATAAAAGAGGTTTTGGTTTTGATAGTCTAATAAATTACTCTCCTCCCCGGCGGCGTTAACCCTCGCGGACGAGGATTTGTGCAAGATTGATGGGAAAAGATAAATACGAAAAAAATAAAATAAAATAACAGACACCAAACGAGATAGCGAAAAAGAAAATAAATTTATACACACACACACTTTGCACAGCCTTTTTTTCCTCTAGCCCATAAACATTTCACTTACCGGTACCGTTCTTTTATCTGATACGCTGTTTAGTAAATCATATATATATATATATATATACATTTAAAAAAAGGTCTCATACGCGGGCGCACATATTGGCATAGACCGGATTTGCAGACTCCAGTGCGACCCTTGTAAGCCAAGCACCCCAGCCGCCGCTGTTATTACCAGGATATGTTTTGATAAACAGGACAATCTGGTCATTGCTACTATCAGCGTCTCTTCGACTTGTCCCTACGGAGCTAAAGGAGGGAAATGGAATACAAATAAAAAAACCACACACACGTGTGACAGCATAATATAAAATATTTGAGGCAATAAATAGATATTGTTTTATCAATTTACTCGTTCATCGTCGACAAAACCATAGCCCTGTGAAATTATGGACATTGGGTCGAGAAAGAAGTTGATGTCAACGAATTTCGAGTACGTGGAAATGAATCATATAGGAAATTTTAGCCATTAGGAGAACACGGGGAAACGACACGCACTTAAGGGGAACGGAAAGCACTATTTATAAAGGGGCAAAGAATAGGCAATACTGGAAAAAATTCATCTAATAGACATTTTTAATATGCATACTAAGTTCAAGATGGAGGAGTTGTAGCGAAAAATCGATACAAAATTACTTTCGTAGAAGTCAATTTTTGGGGTATTTAATGAACGGATTAAAATTTTTTTTTTATGTGAAGTTTTCTATTTTTTCTATAGGGGCTAATAGGCCGATTTTTGATTTGGCGATTAAAGAAGTAGTTAGATGTATTAGAAAACAAAAATTGGTCTTTTAGCCCCGTAGAGGAAATATTAAACTATATAACAAAAAAAAATGTGGAAATCGGTCCTGTAGACACTTCAAAAAGTGACTCCTCGTTTTAGACTTTATTTTTAAAAAATCGACGTTTTCCGTTCCCCTTAAGACGACAATCATCCCGTGGGCACCAATTATGTCACATTGATTTGAAATATTTTCCATATTCTTCATTGACATCGAAGCTATGATTTTTTGTAATTCCCAAAGCTTAACTCTTATTAACCCACAGTGCATTTTCGCGAAAATTTCTTTTTCCATTTTACTTTCTCTGTACATTTTTTTGAACGTTTTTATACCTATTTTGTTCTCACCTCTTCAATTAAACAGGTAAATTTTGTTGCATAAAAATAATATTTAACAATAAAAAGTATTATTAACTACAAAAATTCCAAGCGTGTCTTCAACCGTTACATTGTAATATAAAATATAAGCAGTAATAAGTAAATCAGTAAACAAGTAACATGACGGAACTTGAAACGAATGTATATTTTATTAAATATCTGCATAACTATTGTCTGTATAGTGTGACGGATGACATTTGTAAGGTGGTGTCGGAGGAGTCATATGAAGAAATTTTTTGAATGTCTTGAAAAGAATTTCTTTATCGCAATTATAATAACCCGAAGATTATTTCGTATAAATACTGTACTATATAAACATACATATTTTGAATGTTTTACTTTGTAATTTTTTAATAAAATCACTCTTATTTCAACCCAGGCAGCAAAGTATGAAATAAATATTTTAAAATTATAGTAAAAATGTTTTTATACTGAAAGGGAATTGGTTCGGACTGATAAATAAACAATGATTTTTAAGAATTGAACGAAAAAGTACCTAATTTAAATGTTTTGTGTAAACTTTGGCTCAAAGAAAAATATATTGGAAATCTTCAAATTTGGAAGAACTTTGTTAAGAGTCAGTCTTAAATAAAGATTGTCGTTTTTATTCAAATTACTTCGAAGAAAACTATTAAACTTATTTCGATCGATTATAAACATTCTCGTGACCTTATTATTCAAAGAGTTGATGATATTATCAGTATTAACATTATAAATTAAACTTAAGTTCTTTTTTTTATTAAATCTTTAAAATATATGAATAACTTATAAATATACTTTATGAAAAACGATAATATATTCATTAATGGAGAAAACTGATAATTTGATTTCGTGCAGTTTATACTAATTGTAATATTTCTTACTTTAACTTTTTAGTAATATTATTTCATTATATATTAAGAAGGACATACAAGAAACAATATAATAAATGTTTAACTGATGAGTACCATTTTTTTTATCATAATCATTTTATTTTAATTTACTTTTACTGTATAGGTTAATTTCTAAAATTTGTTCCCCTTTACGAACTAAACCTTTTTTTTAGAAAAGTTAAACAAGTAATACAGTTTTGATCTAATTTTCCAAAACTTAAATCCACAAAAATGTATTTTTTAAAAACTCTATTCACATGTTATTTTGTAAATTTTGAACTCATAAACACATAAACACATGTACTTTATACTTTCGTACCTTAAATTCAAGTCAAAATAAACGACTACCTGATTTATTTATTTAAAATACTCATTTTTACAATAACTAAAATAATTTGCAAATTTGTTTCGGTAAGCCATACGTTTTTTTTTTCAGTAATGTACAAATGTATTACAAAAGCACCATTATGTAGGAAATGTGGAGAAGAAGATGAAACGTCACATCATATCATGTGTGATTGTAACTCCCTAGCTACCCTAAAACAAATTACCTTTAGAAAATCTTTTCCTGGAAAGGATAAAATCAAAGAATTTGGAACAAAACAGATACTTAAATTTGCTAGAGACTCGGGACTATTCAACACACAGAGTTATTAAACTGAAAAGGACATAGGCGAGATACACTACGTGAAATAGGACTTCAGTGAGAGGGTGCGCACAATGGACCTACGCATGGGAACTTCCTGGGCCTACCCACTAACCAACTAAGTTTTAGAAATGTAATAAATAATCTAAGATAATATTTAAGAAGTCGTGAATTTACTTGACATTTAAAATTTAACTATAAAGACATTATGCTCTATTCTAAGCATAAACCAAAAGTAATAATGAATAATTGTTTTAACTAAACATTGAAGTTAAAACTTAGAAGTAAAAAGGATCCTTTCACTGGTAGACATGAAAACTAGGTCAGTAGAGCAACTGGGAGGGGACGAACACGCCCTCTTTTAATACAACCCCTCACACAGTGATGAATTCTATTGAGTACATAACTATAATTTAAAACTTTGTTCAATATTTGTTATTAAATTATCTTTTTGCATAGTATACAATTTTAACTATTTATATTAGCAAATTCAATAATAGTTTCTGACATAGTAACTTAACTACTGTAAGTATTTGCTAGGAGAAGTAATAACTATTACAAGCGTACGATTATTTTAGGCGATTAGTCACAGCAAATATTTACTGAATATTGCTAGGCCTTAACAACATAAATTGTTTTTTTTTTTGGATTTTAGTAATTCAACGATTGCCATAACTTGGCGCACATGTTATTAAGTACAATAACCTACAGATTATTACAATATATTTAACAACGCATGGAAGACATAATAATCAACGTAGAAATTATATTTAGAAACTCATAGCTCACAGGTTTAGTAACATTTCTACAAAAAAACTCCATTCATATACTTTAAAAGTACTTGTTTTAGTATTACATATATACTTTAAGATTTGAAAAAAAAAACAAAATTGAAAACAATTTAACACCTATCAAATTATATTATGTGAGATCTTTCGTCACAAAATAGCAATTTAACCGAAGTGAAACACTTCTAATGTTACTTTATTGTACATAGAATATGCTGGTAATAGGATACTTTAAGACAATTATTTATATCATAGAGGCATGCCGCATGTAACGTTCTATATTACAATTAAACCTAGATGGAAGTATATGTATTAAGCAATCTAAATATAGTACGAATGTAGTACGTCAGTCCCTGAAGTCTGTGTCATAATATTAGTATAGTCTACTCATGATTACGCAAATTATTATCTTAGCAAGTTCAAGCAAAATTAAATAACCATACGATTGATGATAACATATCTGTAGTTCAAAAAGTTCATTTAGTAAATTTAAAAAATAGAGGCCTTGTGGGTAGAACGGTTACGGATGTTCTCTCTTCAGAAGAAAGAGACTATTATTCTCCTCTTAAACGACTGAGCTAAACCTTAAAACATACTCCCGGTCAATAATAGCCATACGCCATAAAATAATAATTTAAAAAATTGTTGTGCATTGTTATTGCCATAAATACCCATGTATTTATACTAACTGTTAATAATACAAACAAATATATACATTTTTTAATAACAAACATGCAAGATAAACAATGTAATCAAAGTACAGAAATAAAGTTGTTTCCACGTTGAAATAAATATTAAAAGGTATCTATTGTAGTTTATATATTTTTTACTATGTGGTATTAATATACTTTTAGCAGAATAATAAAAATATGTGCCTAGATGGGACACAGTTTTAACTAGAATGTTTAAGCTAGAACTGGGTTACCGTGTATGCTTTATCGTTGGAGGAAGGATCAGCTCGAAGTGATTAATGAATTTTTTAGTAAATCATTATTAAAAAAAAAAACCAATTTGGATTTTTTAAATTATATAGTGGTGATAATAAGTATGCTTACCAGTGTAGTGGAGTGGGGCCACATCTTTGGACAACTTGTACTTGGACTGTTCTTCGGGTTTCGAGTTCATGGTGACGGCCGTCTGTGAACATAAAAAACAAAAACCCAAAACGAAAACGTTTTTAAAAAATATATCGAGCCGATGTGTGCTGGGATAATGGCGGGTCTTTAGAGGGTGGGAGGGTGGGAGTGTTGAAGTTAAGAAAGCACCTTCTGGTATGTGAGGAAAACAGGTTAATATATTGAAATAGTGAACTGTCGTGTATACGCGTGTGCCTTTAGTAATTTTTTCGTACACGTGCGTGTTCGACCATCTGGATTGTCAAAAAAAAAAAAAATTAATACTCGGTGGGATAATGCCGAGGTTGGATTTTTCGATTTTTGGTCGGAACAATTTTACGAATTTTTATACGGTTTAACACGCAGGGGACTTGCCGGTTGGATATTTTATTTTCTACTTTAATATTATACTTGATCATTTACCAGAGATGTCGAAGCGGAGAGACCACAGACTTGGCAGCGGGTTCGCCGTTGGAGTTGTACAACGCTATGGCGGTACGGTCGGACCAAGTTTGCTTGGGCAAAGGGATACCCGCGTAGGCGACCGATGCGAAGTTCCCCCGCAACCCCCTACCCTCCCCCCCGGGGCCGCCCCGGCAGTTTCGAGAGACCGCCCCAAAAAGCTTGCCCTGCTCTCCGGCGCTTGCTTTGCCCGCGTATGCATTATCACCGTCCTTCACGTCCATATTGATCAGTCGCGGAGGCTCACCTGTGTGTATACAGGGATGAGATATATTATTGTTATTAAAATTCCGTCGACGTCAATCTGTCGCCCACGTGGACCGATGGGATTTTCTGAGGACACCGTGGACTAGAAGGGGGGGGGGTGCCGTTTTCGGAATCCAACAAAGGTCTATTACCAAACGGCCGGAACAGCGAGAGGGGGTGGGGAGAGAGAGCAGCTTTGACTGGGGAAATTGTGACCCAAATATTCAAATGACGTCTCCCGGATACCGGGGGAGGGTGAAACGACACTGATAACGTATTGCATTACATAATGCATTGCATTATATTACAATATTGTATACGTTAGCTTGCTGCGGTGCTCCAACGATGCCCGTCCAAACGGTAGCTGTTAAATTACGTGCAAGCGGTGTCCATATTGAAGACTCGTCTCAAGTTAAACGAGCAGCTATAGATATATATATATATAACGAATGTATCTACAAACAATCAACGGTTTTGCAGATAAACCCTTTTAATCGTCCGAACGCAAGTATAATTTATTATACTCCGCACGAAACAGCCTCAACTTAGCGGTTTCGCAGAAAATTGATGGCACTATCGCACCATTATGAATCAAGAGGCGTTAAACGCGATTAAACAGAGTTTAATTCAAAATTTAATCTCAAGTTTAAGTATTTCACAAAGTTATGAGCTGAGAATACCGTCGAGTAGACGAGTATATGCAGCATAATTTTGTTGACATAGGAGCTTACTAAAACCACACCAAGTCAACGCATTAAATGTTTTACTCCATCAAAATCTAACAACTTTCCAGTTCTTGCGCTACTCTTTGGGTTGTCATGAGGATATATTTCTTCCATAACAAAATAAAAACAGTGTTTATTTGTTTATTTTTATGAGTCTATTTGTATTTTTATAATTTATATTAAATACTGAAGATAAACTCAAACGTTACAAACAATTTTTGTTGTACGTTTTTCACTGTTTTCTGGTAGTAGAGGAGTAGAAAGGATGACGTCTTTTTTATGGGGTGAAACGAAGATAATTAATTTTATCGTTAAACTATGCAAAATGATAAAATAATTTTCAAATTCGTTTACCTAAAAGAAAAATTCTAACTTCGAAAAAAATTTGGATACGATGACAATACTCATTTTCAGTCTTATTAATATGCACATAGCTCTACATTGCTCTGCAGAGTAGAGCAAAATGTAATTATAAATCGAATAATAACTAAAACTTATCAAATAACGTAGAGTAAAATGATCATGTATTATTCTAAAATGTTCACAAAACGTTATTCTAACAAATTACAAATATAATATATAATAAGTCGAATAAAAAAATAAATTTTTAACAACAGATAACATCATTATTTAACTTAAAACTGATAACTTGCAAATAATCATCACATGTAAGCGTATAATATAGTGAATTATTTTCTATAACAAAAAAAGTGACACTAATAATTTTTTTTTCTCTTTTTATTTACAATACGATCTATACAATTTTAGTATAATAAGTATGTATGATGACACAAGTAAATAACAGACATTGAAAGCATGAAAAGATAAGTCGTCCACTGGCGACACTCTTATTAACTTCGTTTTTAACTAATTGTTAGTTGGATTGTCCTGGATTTACCTTTGTTCTGGTGGTTAAGTGGGACTCAGATGTAAGAGCTATGTTGACTCTTTTTTTCGTGCAGTACCGCGGTTAGTTTATTTGTGTGATTCGGGATTCCGTTAGGATTCTAGAGGAGGATTACAATGGAATTTGATGTATTATTTGGCATTATTGTTTTCAATAAGGCGTGTGAGAACTGTTGTAAAGAGAGTTATAAGAGGATTTATTATAGATTTGAAGTTTGATCTAAAGTTGTTCAATGTTAAGGAGAAGTCTATTGGTTGTTTTTCATTGAGAGGGAGAAGGTTTTGATTTGTGCCGGAAGTGGCCTGAACGTACGAGTATTTGGGCTGGTTATTTGAATATTGGGGCGTTTCAGTTGTCGTCAGTGGATCGGCTTGGAATTAAGATGAGTTTACAAATAAAGGGGGTTGTGTTGAAGATGACTGATGGTTCCGTTGTAGCTGCTTGTGAATTTGGCAGCCTCTATAGTTGGCAGGATGTTGACCTTGGCACAGTGCACATATTAGTGGTGTATTGATTGATTTAGTGCAAGATTTTGAATGATGGTTTTGACCACAGTGGATGCAGCGTCGGGCATAGTGGCAGTAAGAGTGAGTATGGCCGTATTCCTGACAGTTTTGACACTTTAGTAAGTCGCGGCGTTTGTGTGGTTCTTCGACTTTTATTTTAGTGTAGAGTATAAATGAGATGTCGAAAATCGATTGATAATTATCAACTTTTTCCAAGTTGACAAAGAAGAGAGGTAAAGGTGTTTTTGTTTGTCGTCGAAGTACGTTAACAACTTGTAGAACAGAAAAAATGTCAAAAATTAAAATTTTCTAACTCAGATTTTATTTTGTTACACGGAGTTGTATGATGAAGACTGCGTATTACAACTCTAAATGGCTTTTTAGTTTTCATTTGGTACGTGTGGTACTCGGCGCCTTCGCTTTTTAGGAGTGAAATAATTTTTCGATATGAATCGGGAGTTTTGGTTTGAAGTTTTAAACTATTAATGGAAGATTTACACGAGTAATTTTCGGGGACAATTTGCGCATTGAACTCATTAATAAGGTCCAAGTAGTTAAGTACACCTTTGATGAAGATTGGCGGTGGAAGAGGTATCGGGTTATCATTGTTGTTTATATTATTTTGCGTATCATTTGATAACGTAGTTAGAACGGCGACAGTTTTTAATTAAAATATATATATTATGCTCACCAGTTGACGCACAATACCCGCAGGTTGATTTTGACTACATTGTTATTTTGCCTGTAGGAAGATCTTTGAAATGGTATCAAATTCTTTAGAAATTGAGTGAAATTACATGTTGTTAAATACTTTTAACCCGAGAGAAATAATAACGCGTGGTTGCAGTCGGACTGTCCACGCAGAACTCACACTAATAATTTGTGTTATTTGTATTAACGTTTATAAATGTTGACATTATACAACACTTCAACCTAGTCAAAAACAGTTTTAGCTGCCCAGTTAAGGCCGTTCAAGTTTAAGTAATTGTTATGTACAATATAGGTTTAAAGAGCATTACCATAAATCATACCACTCAGACTAAGTATTTAATAACGTTAAATTGTAGTGTGGTTCCTACCTGTATAATAAACGTCAATTTATGCAACAATAGCTATTAAATCCATTCGTATATTGTCTAAAGCGTACATTCGGTTTGGGAATTAATATTGTGATTTACATGTATTGTTACAAGAAATTAACTCTGAGCAATATATCATTTGCTTTGGTGAGCAACATTTCCAAAATACAATATATTACAAATTTAATTACTCGCACATTAATCACCGAGTGTGAGTGAGCATAAAACTTTTGTAATGAATCTACTTACCCTAAATTGTAAAATACTGCTTTTAATTATTGCTAAACCGGAAAAAATACTTTTAACAAAATTAAAATAACCATTAGTTACTTTTTTTGAAAAATGCATTAAGTAGGCGACAACCTTAATAGAGACTAGCGTCCATTAAACTATTACAAAATTATAATTGTAAAATATATGTGTGGTGTACAATCGTTTGTTTATTTAAATTGTTGATGGCTCTAATAATTTCAACTCTTTTAACAAATAAACGACCGAAACAAACTATCTATTTATTCATTGATTGTACGTTATTTATTTTTTATTTGAAAGTAGATCTCATGACCGTTAAAGTCATATCGTTTTATCATAAATAATTAATACTTGTTGAAAGAAAAATGAAAAAACTACGTGTAATTTAGAAGGGAAATTCCTCCTCGTTACAGAGGATTATTTGAATTGGGTCAAGGAGTTCAAATTGAGGTAAAACATTTTCTTTTTTTATTTACAATCAAATGGGGAAGAGGGACACCATAGAAATTAAGACTTCATCCTACTTATATATTTTTATAAAATAACCATGATTTTATTTTACGTCATAACTTTTGAAATTCGAATATGACATTATTTCCGAAGTATTGTAATCTTTCGAATTTATGATAGGCGTCTTTGCTCTGTTTGGTATGGACCGAGTAAAACGCATTCTGTGTATGTTCAGATGGACTTTTTTTTTTTTAATCGCTGTCAAGGATGCTGTGACAGTCCAAAACATAAATCAGCTGTCCAAAAAAGACGCTAGATACTTTTCCGTTCAGTTAACTGATAAAAAAATTTCCACGTTTAACGCTTGGATTTAACTTTTAACTTTTTTTTTTTAAAAATGTATCGACTTTATCCTATTGCGACGTTATTGAGGGAAGAAAGTGTGTGCGTGAGAATACCGAAATCGACGGCGGCGAGCGGTATTATCGTTTTTATAGTGCGGAATACGCAGCAGAAGTAATGGGTCATAAAAAGATCCACGGGCAAGTAATAATAATATCATAGTATAAATAAAATATGGAGCTTGCGTAGTACATTTGTATGCGCAGGTGGTTTTCGATATTGTTATTTTATCGTTATTAGTCCCACGAACTCTGCATATTATAGTATAATTTATAATAAGGCGTGTACAAGATAAAAGGCCGTTTCCGTTTTTGGGGCCGTTATCGAATGCGTTCGGGGTCGCACTCTGATCGCACTTGCAAAACCGACAAATATAATAATCGATAGCGCTGCCGCCGGTGGAATTCTAAACCGAGTCTGTGTGAGGAAACGAGGGAGGGCGGGGGTTGTTGCTAGAGTTTTGTTGTTAAAAAAACTAAATGTACGACCACCTTCACCGCCGCCTGTGGACTTCGTATACAAGGGAGGCGGCGGCGATTGAAGGCGTTTCGGGGCACGTTTGACCTCGTTTCGTGAGCCCGCCTACACACAGGGTTGAACGCAAGCGCCGGCGCTAACGAGGAGAACCCATTCGCCCTTCCCCGCACCACCTGCTCT